TATATGTAATCGCTTTCCTCAGCTGCTGAGCTCAGAAGAGTTTCCTATACAGTGTTGGAGTAGGAATATATGTAATCGCTTTCCTCAGCTGCTGAGCTCAGAAGAGTTTCCTATACAGTGTTGGAGTAGGAATATATGTAATCGCTTTCCTCAGCTGCTGAGCTCAGAAGAGTTTCCTATACAGTGTTGGAGTAGGAATATATGTAATCGCTTTCCTCAGCTGCTGAGCTCAGAAGAGTTTCCTCACTAACTATAGAAGTTTACACACAATTTCGAGTGAAAGTGTACATAAAAATCAAAAACATTTCCCCAAATTTACTCACTATTTTCATCAACACATGTATAAAACCACAAAATCACTCCATTTCACGTAAAACACATCTCGTGTTTTACGCGTTGTTCACTTTCCAAATGCGTTTTCGAATATGTTTTTTCACGACAGTTTCTCATATCACGGGTTGTGAAACTCCAATGTTACTCGAGAAAAAAAACACGTGTGAAATATTAAGCCCGCCGCATACCAAAACACAGTCACCTCCTATCACACACAACTTTCGACAATTGCATTTCATTGAAAAATAGTCGCCAAAACAAAGTTGGGGAAAATCCTTACCTAATCGAGGACATGTGAATTCAAATGTACGCTATCTCCTGAGATTAATAAGAATCCATTTGAAACTATATTGCATGGATGAGCTTGTGATGTGGTAGGAGACTATTAAAGCGACAACTTGTTCACTATCATTAATCCTGGAATAAAAATACACATTTACATATTATCAAATTGGCACTCAACCAGTGTGGGAATATGTGTTTGGTTTCCTCAACTGAGCTCGTAAATTTCCTCACTACACTATGAAAAATTCACACGTCTTTGGGTAGAAGTGTACAAAAATCAACGATAATTTATCAAAATTTCCTCAAAATTTCTATATTCGTAGCAGCACATGTAGCTGACCATGTGCATACATTCCCACACTGCCCTCAACACTGAAAAAATTCGCCCTCTGAAAATTAATTGAAAAAAACACAAGTCCGGGAAGTCCTAAACCAGTCGAATACGTTTACTCAATTGCCATCGCCACCGGAGTTTCCAATCTTCTCATAGCTTCACTACGTACCTACATCGATATAATCGTTCGGACAATAAGTGGGTAAAAAAATCCGCCCATCACTTTCAGTTGTGTTCGTATCGACGACATCGTTGATTTTGCCATCCACCCACTGGTCGGGTCAAGAGTCTTCCCAAGTCTGTTAATCTCAACCTATTTCACAAAAGAACACAACTGGCAGTTTCGGAGGAGGAATATATATATTCGCTTTCCTCACAAGAGTTTACATATAAAAGTGTACCAAAATCAACGAGAATTTCCCAAAATTTTTACATTGTCATCAACACATTTAGTTAATCATGCGCATATTTTCCCACCACAACACAGATAAATATAGAATTAGTTCCGTTTCGTTGTTACAATGTATGTTCGCTTTCCTGAGATCAACTCAGGAGTTTCCTCACTAATTATAGAAGGCTATATACAAAAAATCCGCGATAATTTTTTCCAAAATTTCCTAAAAATTTTCATGTCATCAACACATAAGTATATTTTCCTGCACGAAAATCTCCTTGCATTTACTCGCCGGCTCGATTCTCGCAATTTTACGAGTTTAAATGGAAAAAAATTCGGTAAAATTATACAGAAAATCCTGGATAATTTTCCGGAATTTCCGAATTGTTTGCATATTTTTCGCACAGTTTCCTCACCTCGTTTTCCACTACTCCTTGGATGGCCGAATCTTCAATGTCACAAAGCTGATAAATTTGTGAACGATTACCCGGTGGGCGCTAAAACAACCAATCTTACTTTCAATGGAGTTTCACAACTACCCTAGTGATATGAAAAAAACACTAGTGAAAAATATATATTTCACGACTACTGCATATCACCGCGAATATCGGATTTTTCACAGAGTATTACGACGCCACTTCACGTAAACTCAATAATAAAACAAATCTCACCCGAAAATGAACATCAGGTTTGCTCTCCGACGTAATAGTAGTAGCAGTAGTAGTCGCACTAGGATGCTCCCGAGCTGCTGCCGGACTCCGAAAATGAGGATCTCTAAAATCGATCACCTGATCGATTATCACTTCCAGTATGTGGAGGGAAAATATTCACATGGTCAACCACATGTGTGGCAAACGATATGAAATTTTTTTGAGGAAATTTCCGCAAATTCTCATTGCTTTGAAACATTTCTACAAAAATTCGTATATAAACTCCTATAGTAAGTGAGGAAACTTTCGAGCTCAGCAGGTGAGGAAAGCGATTACATATATTCCTACTCCAACACTGTAAAGGAAACTCTTCTGAGCTCAGCAGCTGAGGAAAGCGATTACATATATTCCTACTCCAACACTGTATAGGAAACTCTTCTGAGCTCAGCAGCTGAGGAAAGCGATTACATATATTCCTACTCCAACACTGTATAGGAAACTCTTCTGAGCTCAGCAGCTGAGGAAAGCGATTACATATATTCCAACCCCGTGCACTTCAATGAAATTTCAACTCACTTGAAATTTCACGGCTTCTGGGTTTAGCTTCGGATCATATCCAAATCGAACATAGCAATTTCGCCAAGGACCGTTGAGGTATAAATATGATACCTATTATGAACGACTAGTATCAACGACAGAGGGTGAAAATGTCCGAAAACGTGATAAAATTACGCACGATGTAGGTTTAGGAGTGCATTGAAAAGAGTAGAATTGTAGTGTTGGGAGGCGTTCAGAATTAATAACTAGGAAGCAACGCATTTGCTGAAAGTGTAAGAGTATGTAATAAAAATTCGAAAATGTGATTTTTTCACGCACGATTATATAAATTTACACCTAGTTTGAGAGTTTTAATCTCCAACATCGTCGATTTTTAAGAATTCGAAAATGTGATTTTTTCACGCACGATTATACACACCTAGATTGAGAGTATTAGTCTCCAACACCGTCGATTTTTAAGATTT